ATGCACCCTGGCGCCCGGGGGTGCCCTCTCTTCCCTCCACCTTCCTTCCCCGCCCACTCCTTTCCGCCGACTTCTCCTCAAGCGGGCACGCGCAAAGAAGCGCGCCGGCCTGGGGCGTGGCGAGGCGGGGGCGGGGCCTGGCGGGACTGCCGCAGTGCGCCTGCGCAAAGCCGAATTCGCGAGGGGAGGGGTCGCGCGCCGGGTGCGCCTCTCGGGACCGGAGGGCCGGAGATTGCCCGCTAAGGAGCTCCGGTCCGTTTGGCGAGCGCGGCTTTCTGCGGGATCCGGGGCGAGCTTGCACGCCACACCACCGTTACATCCCTTTGCTGGTCTAAGAGGTCACCACTTAGGCTTCCCTTGCAGAAGTCACCGTAGACTAGTAAGGGCCGCGGAAACGGGAGGACCCCGCCGGGGACGACCTGGCGGACTGGCTTGCCAGCTCCTGGCAGAGCCGCGGGCACGGGTTGGCCGCAAACGTAGAGAATTTCATTTTTCACAGCTCTTGTCGCTCCTCGGGGGCCACTTGAGCTTCTCAAGGTAATCCTTTCGCGGCCTCGCCTGGACGCCGAGGGGCAAAAACTTCGAAAACGCACTGGACTCTGGTTGTACAGTGTAAGAGGTCATTTTCCTGTGAGGCTTTCAGGGGAGCTTCACAGGACAGCGACCTGAGCCAACTGCCCACTCCCCACTCTTCCTAGCCGTGGCCTGGCGGCGGTGTGCTTTGCGGAAGTGCCAAAATGAGTGACCGCTACTTAGAACAAAGGATTAGCATCAAATTTTGCGTGAAGTTGCACAAGTCTGCAAGCGAGACGCACCACCTTTTAAAAGAAGCTTACGGCGACGGAGCCATGTCCAGAGCCAGGGTTTTTGACTGGCACAAAAGGTTTAAAGAAGGGCGGGAAGATGTGCGAGACGACGCACGGAGCGGGCGGCCGGTCACGCACCGGACCCGCGAAAATATCCGGAAGGTCAAGGAGTTGGCTTGTTCCAACCGGCAGTTAACGGTGAGGATGATGGCCGAAGAGTTAAATTTGGATAAAGAAACGGTTAGACTCATTCTGAAAGAAAACTTGAACATGAAGACAGTGTGTGCCAAGGCGATGCCAGGTGGTTTGAAGCATGACCTCAGACCCCGAAAACCGGACTTTCTGTGCCATCTCTCAAAGCAAGCTAGGGAAATCAGCTCATCTGTGAGGGGAGAGATGACAGGTCCTGAAACATGGAGTCCTCTCCAGAGGGAGGCGGCTCGGGAAATGCCGCTGCCAGTCTCCCATTCCTGAACCCAGTCCCCTGCCAGCCAGCTGCTTCCGCAGGCTTCACCTTCAGGAAGCCTGGCCCCCAGGGTAGTCCAGGATTGGCTCACACCATGGTGAACCTGAGCTCGGAAGCTCCCTGTATCTTAAAGCACCTTCTTCTGTTGGTCATCTGGTTTGTCTTTCTCTACCACTCCTGCCTTTGTGCCACAGCCTCCCTAGTTATTCTTTGCTGCACTGCGCGGCCACCTTCCTTGCTGTACGCCACAACTTTGAAGAACTCTTGGCTGTCGTCGTCAGGCACTTAGATGTTCTTTGCTTGACACGTTTGGATCTCTTCACTGCCCAGACCTTAGCGTGTCTGAGGCTGCCTTACCCCTTGGTTCTCAACATTCTGCTTCAGGGAATCATACCACCGAGAGGTGGGGGCAGGACCCCTGGAGTGTGTCTCTCTGTGCACAGGGAGACATGCTCCTAAGAGGACCACAAAGAAGGTCTACAGCCCCAGCCTGCTTTGCAGGCGGGGTGTGAGGTATGGTACAGAAAGCAGTAGCATGCTGACATAGGAGCTGTATCTGGCCCACATGCCTCAGGGGGAGCCCCTCAGAACTGAGGACTTGGCCACCATTGCTAATCTACGCATAGACCCTCCCCCTCCTTGGAAAGCTGGGTGTGTTGCTTTGGACTCTCCACGCATTTGGACATCCCCTTGCTTCAAGAAGAGAATTTGACCCTAGGAAATATAAACCAAGGAACTGGGCCTAGACTGATGTGGGAAGATTGGTGGGTAGGTGCCATACTAGACCCTGAATTAAGGGCTCTCACTGCCGTGTATTGGTTCCCACATAGCAGCCTGCTCCTAGTGACTAACACCTAGATCGTCGGGTTTTTCTTTTTCATATCTACTACTTTAGGGCATGCTGAGTGTTTATGATTTGAAGTCAGGAAACATGATCACCGAGGTCTAGGTATACTTAACGGATGATGCAGTGATCCTCACACTGGGTCTATAAAGAAAGGTGAGTCTTAGACAAGGGTTGAGGACATTTGGGAAAGCTTTCCAGGTAGATGGAAGAGCATGAGGCTTTGGACCCTTGTCAATAGGGAATGATGACATTACTGGCGGGAATTTCAAATTTTAAAGTCAAAAACGGAAATAATGGTGTTGCAGGTAAATTATTTGGGATCCTTTGCATCCTCTTCTTTGTCCCTCAACTCTTTGCCAGTAGTCTATAAATTGGCTTCCCCCAGTCTGTGGATAAGTTATTAATCATCTACATATTTGATTACCTAATTTTCCTGTTGAACCAAAAGAGCAGTCTCTACAACTTCAAACTCCCCTTTCTTTGTCTCTCCTCTCTCTGCCTCTGCCAAGATTTATGGGATAGAACTTGTCCCAAAGTGGGTGTCAGGCAATAGCACATAAACTGGAAACATCTCAGTAAACGGGGTGGGGGTGGGATCAGCATTTGAGTCAGTTTCTCCGTATGTTTTACCCAAGGGTTTTTACATAATATCCACTCCTATTGTTTAATAAAGAAGTAGACAATATGGGTAAATAATGGAGGCTTAACAATTCAGTTATAGTTCTGTTCTTTCATTATAAACCTTTTTGAAAAATTAGAGGAGTTTGGAGGTAACACTTAACAGTGTTGAGGTAACCTGAAAGCTACATGTTGCCCCACAAATAAAACATACTGTGTAAGAAAACTATTAAACCAAGCAACAGCTTAACAATCTCTAGATATCTGTTGCATGATCATGAAGTCTTCCCTATTAAGTTGGCACACTAGGGACATTGCTTTTCAGGAACAAAGCACACACAGCTTTTACAGCTTCATTGCTGAACTTCATATTAACCCTTTCGTGGGCCTGCAGCAATTGTTGCACATTGTACGCTCCTGACCCCAGATTGAATCTGATAGCAGCACCTGCAGGTATTATCCTCACCTTGTAAGGAGAGATCCAGGGGAAACTTATTTCTGGGTGTCTATTCCAGTCCTGTGAACAGGGCTGGAGTGACCCTGTCAGAGATTTGGACCAAGATTTGTCCTGGAATGAAGCAATGTTGACCCAGACAGGTTTTGGATGTAGAGCAGTGGAATCAAGAGTGTGAATTCAAGTTGTCCCAAGTGGCTATAATAAGAATGATTTGATTTATTGCCTTCGCTCATCCCCTGAGTAGTAATCAAGTTGAACTACCAGAAACCGTTTATTGTTTGCAAGGCTTTCCTGAAAATAACCAATGAGATCAGAAACCCTAGGCTACCTTGGATTTGGGGGAAGTAAAATTACTGCCCTAAGGCTTATCCAGAGCAAATCATTCCCACATGGCTGTTCTAAACCCAAGGCAGTATGTGATCTAGGAGCATCCCAAACAGAAGAGTTTGTATATTACCTCTTAGGTACCTATTCCCAGGAATGTTGTCCTGACCTGTACCTTGCTGCCCAGGCTTTCTATAGTCTCGTGGACCCACCCATGCATCATGCCCCATGTGCTTATCTTTTCTTGGGAGCCTCAGTTTATTCTCCACCAGTTTCCTCTTGCTCCTATCTTTGCCTTGTGCTTTGTTTTCCGGGTTGGGGCACACCTTCAATACTTGCTTTGGGCCCCTTTGGGTCCTTGAGTTGCCCTTTTGATCATTTTTTTTCCCCCCTCTCATTTCTTTGGTTTTTGAATCCTTCCAGCCCCCTACCACAGCCTCCTAGTGTTGGATAAGGAAATTGTCTCCTCTAGTCCTGGCCTAAGCCACCTTCCTATATCCAAGACGCTGGTGAGATGAGCAGAGAATGTGCTCTTGTTTTCTAAAAGGGGAGAGGAGAGTGAAAGTCCCCTTCCAACACACCCACCCCCAACCTCGCAGGGACAATCAGAGTTAACCAATTTCTTAAGGGGATACTTTGGCTACTTCTAGTACTCAAGATTACGTTCCCTAGCTGAAGAAGCCCCACTTAATCATAAGAGACCTAGCCTTGCCCTCTGTGGGATGGCTGAAGAGATGGTCATCCGTTAACCTTGACCATCACTCTAGCTTAACAGACAATCAGTCAATGAATGTCTTTGGCCTTCAGGTTTCTCCCCCTCCCTTCCCCTCTGTTCCTGGATCCAAGCCCACAGATCATCCCATCTAAAGTCTTAGTCAATTCTCCCACACCCATTGTCTCCCCTTGCTCCACCCGTTGTTCTGTCCTGGGGAGTCTACTTTGACTCATGGTCACCCAAGGTGACTAAGAAAACCCCTTAAGGTTTTCTCCTCTGGAATCTTTATGGGAAGAGATGCCAGGTCTTTCTCCCACAGATCTGCTGGGTGGGCTTGGACCAGCAACTCTTCAGTTCACAGCCAAGGGCTTAACCAATGTACCACCTGGGGTCCACCTGCCCCATTGATAATGATCAAAACCAGGAAGATCAAAGTGTTCACCAAACCTTTGCCTTAGGAAAACATGGGTGGTTGAGGAGTCTTCTGAATTCTGGCTCCTGGCTGTGAAGCATGTTCCCCACATTGCTGGACAAGTGGGGGGCTGCTTTCTAGAGCCTTCCTGTCAGGCCCATTTCTCACTCTGAGTCGAGACTTGTCATTGGAGATGCTCAGGTAAGCCAGCCTCCTGGATGATTTGAGGACCCTAGAAAAGGAGTGGAGTGCCCGGGAGAACTGTGAGCTCAGCAACCCACATAGCTCAGCAAGGCTGCTCTTGGCTCACATCATCAACAAATCTCTTCCCTGGGCTCTCTTGGGACCAGATCTCACCAGGATCCCATGTGGCTCAATTAGTAAGAGCCTACCTTTACTACCAGAACTATAGATGCTACCCGATGTTTTCCGACAGCTAGTTTGGTTGGATTAAACTCCTTCTCCCTCTTTATCAGGTTTCTACGTTTGTTGAGGCCACCATCCTCAACAGATATTTATGAAAAGAATCTTAGTCCCATCACACTTCTCCCAGAATCAATATTCAGAAACAAAGGTACTGTCATGGGAAACTCCAGTACCTCTAAGGACCCACTTGGGTCTAGTGCAGGAATCAGCAAACGCCTCCTACACAGTAGGTATTTTAGGCTATGCGGGCCATGCATCACTGTTGCAGCTACTCCACTCTGCTATTTCAGTGCAAAAGCAGTCACAGAGAATGTGGAAACAAAGGGTTGTGGCTGTGTTCCAGTAAAACGAGTACTGAAACTTAAAGCTCATGTAATTTTCACATGTCACAAAATATTATTTTGATTCTTTTCAACCATGTAAAAGTTAAAAAAGAAGCAAACCCAAAACCATGAGCTTGTGGGGCCTAGTAAAACAGGGTGCCAGCCAGGCTTGCTGACCCCTAACCTAGTGCTTATAAAGTTATCTCTAAAGATGACAGGTGATTGATCCTTTTCCATCGATAATACTGTGCATGCCAACGGGATCTGGCAGCATTGGACAACTTACTAGTCAGAAATTGTGGCACGTTAGAGGGATTCTTTATTGGGCCAGAGGAGTGAACTGCAAGTGGAATAATTGGCTATTTTACCTTGACTGTATTCTGGGCCATAAAATGATGTTTGTTCTGTTTTTCATTAAAAATGATATCACATGAACTGCCAACTCTACTATTCCATTGTAATGTCTTACAGACCATTTCCACAAAATCCAAAGTGGTGCCAAATGGCAACCAGCAAGAATAGAATGAACTGAAGCAACTTCCAAAACTCCCTTGACCACGAGTAGCATTTGAATGAGCATATGCTGTCACTTTGGAGGTGACAAAACACCGAAGTTGTTTTTTGGGCATGCTTATAGAACTGTATGTATTTGCACCTTGCCACCGAGGCTGAGGTCTGTCCTTTTAGGTGTGCTTATTGGTTTTTCCCCTAAAGAGAGTGCTATTGTGTCCATTTCAACGGATTTTCCAGTGGTGGAGTTGAATCTCCACATTAGACAGCCCTTTGCAAGGACGACTAATCCAGCCATTCATGTTTCCCTTGAATCCAGGAATGACTTTTTAGCAGCAGCTAAAAAAACGACCCTGCAGCTGAAAGAAGAATCTGTTCATTCAGTCAGCAATTTTTTTTTACCGAGTGGCTGTATGTGCCAGACACTGTCCTTTGTGCTGGAATGCAGCCGTGCACAAAATACAGAGCTTGGGTTTCACGGTCTGCGATCTAATTACAGTCAAGCACCACAGAATGTCCGTTTGGGTGGTGTTCAACCACACAAATGTCCGTGGTCCCTTAAAGATATAATAGAATTCGGAAATCTCAACTGAAAAGGGGGCATAACCTTAGCACAATAAATATTCTCCAAGCAATTACAAACAATTGCCTCCACTTGAAGCTACCAGGGTGATAAAAATGGCAGATGGACTGATGGCAGATTTGGAGAATTTGCTAGTGGCATGGATTGAGAACCAAACACAAAAGCGTATACTTTTGAGCCCATTGGTGCTCACTGCTAAGACATGAAGCTTGTTCCAGATTCTTAGAGGAAAAGAAACAGGACCAACTCTGATACTGTGTTTAGTGCTAGTTCTGGGCACTTCCTGTGTTCGCTACTATCACAATGTGAAAGCGAGTGGTGATTGTGTGAATGCTGATGCGAAGACAGCAGCAGGAGATGCTGAAGCCTTAGATAAACTAGGTGTTCGTACAATGTCCAAATCATACAATGTTCTATTGCCAATGTATCATGGCCATTAAGCTATACATACATTTAGGAAAACATGTACATGTTCCCACCAACTTACTGTTAACTGTCTACCTGGAAATAGGGATGCCCTTTGCTGCTCACCTTAGTGCTCTGCTCATGGTGCCTTTCCAGTGGCATAAATAATTTAAGGACTGTATGTTCCACTTACTTTTTTATTATCCTTTGGACAAGTCTGTCTTGGTAGAAAACCATACTGGCAATGTTAGAAGTGCAAATTGGCAGCAGTTTTCTGAAAAGCAATTTGGCAGTATCTATCAGGAGCTTTGAAAATCCTCTGATCCCCTCCTTCCACTTCTGGGAATCGGTCCTAAAGAAATAATCTCAAATGTGGGTATGATTTATGCTTAACAATCCAGAAATCCAACAATATAAAATTGGTTAAATAAATTTCAGTAGGACTATTCAATAGACTCTGCAGTCATTATAATGAATGTGTTTGAAGAGTAGACGACAGCATGGCAAAATGCTTATAATGTTATGTGAAGGGAGTGATATATAAAATTGTACCTGTAGTAAAATTTGAGAAAGCTGGAATCAATGGAAGGCAGAAAGGTGCCAGAGAAGGAAAATTAGAATATTTTCTACAAAAGCCTATGAGAGTGAAGTGGTAAGACTACACATGCTGTCAAAGGCAGAACACTTAGGAGATCCAGGAAAATGAGGCCGGCCTGTCCAGTCTCGGTTCCCATGGGTTTCACTGTACAACTTTGAAACTGTTGAAAAATGATGAGTAGTCATAGATTGGCTCTGGGTGATT